CATTCGTGAAAATGGAGATCCTAACAAGATGAAATCACTCATCTCAATTGTAAGTCAACCATTTAGCATAGAGAATGAAACACTATCACATCAACGACTACTTGACTAGCATAGAAAATTGACACTTTTTAGAACATGATGGAATAGCAAAAATTTTATATGAAAAAACAAAAAGAACCTAAAACGAGAATAACTGAGATGTCAGGAGATCACTGTCTTGCTTGTTACAGCTTAAGTTTATATAGGCCAATGTTTATTTCAACATAGTTAGTCTTTCATTAACAAAAGAGTGTGTCCGCTGAATGGTCAGATTCAAGAAATATTCCAAGATGAGGATCCAGAGTCAGCATTGGAATCCTTTATAGATGGAAATATAAAGGGATGCTATCCCTTGGAAGATGTATACAAGGTTGGCCATCTAAATATATCTTGATGTTCAAGTCTCTTACGCCTTTTATAAATCCAGTAAACTATGAATTTAGAGCTGACATTTACTTTCTGATTACTCTCTACAGATGGGAGAAATTGCAGACTGGTGCCTAAGTGAAAATGCAATTAACAGACCAGAAATGCGGGAGGTGGTTGTTGCGTTATCTCAAATCAGGACCTCGTCCACAGAATGGGAGGCATCATTAGGAGGAGACAGTGTGGTTTTTAGTGGACTCTTTAACGGGAGATGAAATGAAGCAAAACTCTTAATTTTTAAAATAGAGTGAAAATCTTACTACTGCAAGCAGTTAATTATGTTCTGCTTATTGATGGAATTTCTTTTTCATTTTCCTGTCTTGTAAAGTTACAAAATGTTTGATAAACAGGCATATAAATTCAGCATTTTGGTTTCTACTTGGCTTCAGAGTAATTCTTCTCAATTTCTGATGTTCATTGAACAAATACTTACAGGCTAAAGAATTAGAATAACAGCAGAAACTCTTTCATTTTGGACTAACAATAACAGGAAAACATGATACAAAGTTTCTTTCCCCCACACACCCCTCTTTGTGGACATATAGAATTCAAGACTAAGAAGCAAATAACGGCATGTGCCCCTCAACAGAGAAATCTGGACTATGATTTTATGCAGAAAAAAATCCAGTACTTGATGTTAAGAGTTAATACGCTAACAAGTGCCTCAGCTACTGAAAGCTTAACATGGGTGAGTTACTCATCCAAGAATGTCTTAAGACTCAACCAAATTGACTGTCCTAAGCACTCATTAACTCGATCAGAAATCAAATTTGAGTGATCAATCCCTATAACTAGCTAAAGTAATATAGTCACAACGACAGTAACAACGTATTAGTATCATACAAATACTGCTTAAATTCCTGCACTTCCCTCGCAGATTCCTTGTGTCAAAAAGAGAAAAGTAAGTTTATGATCTCCCAATTGCTGGAGAGGATTTTGGATGCTGAAGGGAAATTATAGTTTCAAAAGCACCCACCAAAGCCTTGACCTTGCTTCTCCTGGTCTCGGCAAGCTTGCTTGCAGTAACTTCAATCACATTGTTGAACAAACTTGGAGCTTCTTTAATGTCTTCTATAGACTGGGGCCGAAGATTTACTTTCATAACTTGGTCTTTAGCAGTACCTGAATGGTCATCAGCAATAGATCTGCTCAAGCCTTTTCCTCTAAGATCACCATTTTCATTTTCGCGCTCATGATCTTGTATGGAGACTTGCCTATATTTTAGTCTCCTTGGACTACTGTCTTTCTCATACTGGGAATCAGTTGTCTTTCCCCCTTTGAACTTGAGCATCTTAGGACTGCAATCTTCATTTTCTAGGCCAACTTGTCTAGCCCCCCTTTGATGTTTTATGTCTTGTTTCTGGTTTGTAGTTCCAGTTTGTCCGGTGCTAATGCCTGCTGCATCACTGTTAAAAGACTCATTTGCTGAAGTTGATGGTAGCGATACCACTGAAGACGAGGAAATGGAAGATTGGGTGGTACCAATGTTTCTTGAGCTACTGCCACCTGAAGATAGAGGAGAAGATCGGTTGCAAAATGGTGATGAAGCCGTCTTACCTCGTGTTGGACTATCTCGATCCAAAGAAAATTCTTTGGCATTACTATTTTCCTGAGAAAGCCCTGAAGTGTGGCTTTTATTTTCTTTAAGATGCAACGTCTTCTTTGGAACATTTTCATGATTGATTTGTGCAGTCTTGCTTGGTGTAAGACTAGTCCTACTGTTAAGTTGAGATGCCTTTCTTGGGGAGTTGTTAGTGGATGTTGTGCTTGATACCTTCTTCACTGAAGATTTTGGAGACAATGAAACAGTTGAGGTAACAACACTCTTTTTCTTGCTTAGCACGGAGGATCCACCGTCCTTGTCCATTTTACAGCTGTGGTTTTGTCTACTGCTTGATCCTTCCGATAAAGACTCGTGAAGTTTTGAAGACCTACCCGGTATAAAGATGTCGCTGTATCTTCTGTGATGTCTTCTTGATGCATTTTCTTCTAAAGGCTTCAGCTTGGAATCACATTGATGACTTACAAAAGCATCTGATCTTTTGGTGGATGTTGGGATTTCACGTCCATTGACTTGACATGTTTTCTGGCTCTTGATCTCTGAAGATTGTTTAGTTGAGTTTGGTAGTTTCTTCGTTTCTGAGATTTTTCCTAATGTTGCTCCACATCTTGTGGGCCGGGGAATCTTTGCCTTTGTTGGAGAATCATGGTCAAAACCAGACTTGCACATATCGTGACAAGAACCTGTTGGAACGCCAAGATAACGTGACAAGACCTTGGATCCACCCATTTCAAATCCTAGGCTACCGGTTGAGTTCCTTCTCACACGACTGACTACACGCTCAATTTTGTCCAGGTTTTCAGGTATACCACAAGACATATCAGCCATTGTACTAAGAGAAGGAAATGAAATCACAAACCAACACCCCTGCAGATAAGTTCAATATGATATAGAGGGTTCAGAGTAAGCAACAAAAAATCTTCTTGTGGTTGTTTTTCTGTTTACAGAAACAACAACAACGCCTAAATCACAAGCAAGTTGGTGTCCGCTAGATGAATCCTCACTGTCGTCCATGTTGCTTCATTTAAACGCATCCAAATCCAATATTAGAATAATATTAAGAATATACTTTGTTGTGATTGTTTTCTTGTTTACTTCTAAAAGATATGATCCAAAACAAAGAGTACTCACCAGGACTTGGAAGCAAGAAGTAGCCGAGTGCTGTTTGAACCGTCAACCTCACAAGTTTGGCATCCTAAATAGATAGAAACAAGGACATGTTAACTGTTGAAGATCAGGTGGGGATGCTTTTTCATCCATTGCTTTGTATGACTTAAGTCTACATTCTGTCATAAAATGCAGATAAAAAGGAAAATGATAGACATTTAGTTCCGCATAGTTAATAACATTCATAACCTACAGTAGCTAAGATAAACTGGAGGATTCACAACTGTCATCACCTAATGAACAATAAATTGAAAAATCCCCGCGCTCACAATTATTACTAACTTTATCGGAAACAACCTCTCTACCTTCACAAGATAAGAATAACGTCTACATACACTCTACCCTCCCAGACCCCACTTTGTGGGATTACACTGGGTTTGTTATTGTTGCATTATCGAGGCTGAGAACATCGATCTAGCACAGATGTTTCTGTATCAAGATTTAATCAACTTATCCATTTTTGACAGAAATTTTATATTCCTTCTTGTTCATGACATTCCGACGATAAAATAAAATATTCTATAATTCCCTTCATCTAAATGATAAAAAGATTATATTCCAAGAACTATATCTCCCAATTGTCCTCCCCTTCTTTAGCTTACCCTTAAAATCAGATTATATATTCAAAAAATAAAATCTAAAAATTGAAAGGATGAATATGGCTTGGATGAGAGGGCTATAAATAAATCATACCATTGAGACATTCATGCAAGTAGCAAAGGTGTTAGCAATATTCAACCAAAATAAAAGATTATTATCATAGAGTTAAATAGATACAGAATTGTTTTTGATCATCAAAAAACATAACTCAATTCTACAAACAAGACAATCAAGAAGCTTATAACTACCAAATAAAGAAAATAAAAAACATCTGGAATTATTTATTTTTTTAAAATGTTTAGTTGAAGGGAGGAGTCGAAATTGTACCTGTTCCTTACATGTAAGGAAGAGGGACCCCAAACAATTGGTTGAAATTTTATTTTGTGAAAAGAAAGGAATAAGAAAGAAGGGGGAGGTTTAGAATTATGAACTTCATAATCTAGTGGTGGAAAGGAGCTTGATCTTATTATTGTTAGAAATCAGAATTGATAAATTTATGTGAGAACAAGCGTAATTATAGCAGAGGAGATTATTTTTGTTGAAAGAGAAAATCACAGAATAATTCCAATAACATAGAAAGTGAAAATAGAAAAAGTCCTAATCCTTGTGCATTGTAGATTTTAATTCATATCAAACCGTTTGAGTTTTGTCAATCATTTAATATTAGTTGGTTTGATTCCAAAGTTTTGAAACTGAACCAAGCGTTTAATAAATCTAACCTAAAGAAGAAAACTTGCCCATAAGTAAAGGAAAAGGAAAATACTTATACTGTGTACTTGGTGTTTATACTAAATCAAAAGAAATTTAACCTAAAGACTTACAAATTAAAGTGATATTAATATTATTTAATCATATCAAGTGATAAAAGTTCATATGCAAGACACGCGTCTTATATTCATTGATTTATTGCAAACACATATTTTGTATTATTATCAATTTTCCTTTTTACAAGCTTTTTTCTCAGACTAAGTTTATAAAATTTTGAATTAGGATTTTATGATTAAACTCATTTTTTAAACAAACTCATTGAGATTACCTAATAAGTAAGGAACAAAATGATGCAGTCAAAAATGAACTTGTTATCTTTGAATTTCAAATTTGGCCCCAGGATACTATTATCTAGCTTCATTAACTTGGGATGAACAGTCCCTGGGGAAAAAGGAAAAGAAACAGTTCACTCCAAACTAATGTGGAGTAATTCAATAAGTGCCATGAACCAAAATGTGGTTTTTTCTGTAATTAACAACTTGAATGTGAACAGTTCCATAGGACTAAGTGAAGTATCCTGTATGAATTCTAGGCTAAATATCTGTACATAACATTTCTAAGACAAAAATTGATAATACTGGCAATCAACTTTCTGTACTATTAAGTCTATAACTTAACTTATGAGGCTATAATATAGGTGGTGTCACCACCATAATCTCCATTAAATTACTCATCAGCTAAAAAAGAAAAAGAAGACCAAATATAAGACTGAGCTCTCCGAGCCCTTTGCCGCCTTTTTGTCAGCCCCCAGCCTTTCAAAAATCTGTCTGTGATTCCATGCTTGGTATCCAGAGTATGCTGCAGGAGTGAGCACATTGTCCTCTTTCCATCATTGGACCGTCTCCTAGCTCTGGAACTCATCCTACTCGGAGTTTTCCTCCACGTACATGTTTTTGGAGAAATATCTTTTTCATTTGCCTGATGCAAAAGAGAGTCAACTGCAGGTACTGACTCTCTCAGATTAAGCTTCACAGTCCGACTGCAATCATTCCTATCGGAAAGAGATATATCACGCTCAAAATGGACTTCCATGCGTTGTTCAACCTCATTCTCTGGAAATCTTGCCAAAGCAGCAGCAACTTCAGCAAGCCAACCTAGATAGTTATTAGAAGCTTCAGATGATTCACTGATGGCAGTCTTTGAATACCCCTGAACGGCAGATGATGAAATAAAAATAAGTATATCAGCTGCAACCTTGTCAAGTTCCTCAACGAGATCACTATGGCCTCCTTTTGACAAATGGAGTGATGTACCAATCATAATGTCCTGAGAATCTCCTCTAGGTGGAGAACACTCCTTATTTTCGGGGCTAACAGGACCTTCCACTTCCATATCTCTTTCTGCAGTAGGCGTTGTTGCTTCACTTGGACTAGACGATAAAAACTCTTCTTTGATGCAAGAGTTTAAGTCAATGCAAATATTAGTTGTTGAAAGCTTGCTATCAATTCTAGCAGCTATAAGGTGATTATCCCTGGTACATTTTCTAGATTCAGTTGTAGAATCAGGAACAACGCTAATGTCAAGAACCTCAGAATTTTTATGAATCTCTACATTTCTTCCTTCAGGGAAATTAAGACGGGAAATGTTGGAGGTAGACGCAGACTGGTATTCAGACAAATGGTTAGGAGGTGTCAAATTTAAGTCCATGCCTTTCCCTGAACTAGTGCAGTTAGAGACCTTATTGTCTTTAACAGCAGCGATGTGTTCACATGTATTTTCCCTGATTTGCTGGTGAATGTTTTCAGATTCAAATGCAGAATTCTGCCACTCTGATTCAACAGGCTGTACGGGTTCATTTAGGTCAAACAAAAGAGAAGTGCCCCTGCAACTTGAGAGAGAAATCGATGAATCTCCAAAGTTGACTTTAGAATAACACTGAGGTTGAAGCTCTGCGATCATAATATTGGGCTTTTTAACAGGATTTTCCTCTTCAAATGGCTCCCCATCTTCATTGTCTATGTATTCTTCTGCTGGAACTTCAAGATCCAACATTCTCTTTCTTGATACATTGCTTTTCGATGATGATAAGTTGCATTCTTTTGAGACATTTCGTCCTGAAAAATAATCACCACCTTGTTGCACAGTCTTACCGGTAGAATTAGAAGACTCTTGAAACATTTCTTTACTTGGTGCATATGGCTCGATGCTTGTGAGGTTTACTATGGGCCAATAGCTTTTGCCGGAAATTTCGGACCTTAACTGAGACATAAATGTATTTGACTCGGCCTGAAAGTGTAAATGATCCTCCACTAGTTTTCTCCTTTTAATCTCATCCATTAATTCCCTTTGTCTTCCATATACGCGATGGAGTTCCATAACCTGAAGAGAACACATTTAGATATCTGCTCAATCATGATGCATTTAGTGAATCACCATGTAATGAAGCACTCTCTCAAGGTTACCATTGAGAAAGACCCAACTTTGATCAGAAACTAAATGCAAACTTACATATAGCAGGCATACACTAGATTTGTCAACAACAACGACTATGCCTCAGTCCCAAGCAAGTTTGGGTCGGCAATATGAGTCCTTACTGAATAACTAGATTTGTCAACCAAAAAAATGAAATGAAGGAGAGAGAATCTAGGAAGAAGAATCACCAAATCTAGTAACATCTCAGAAGGTTTATTTTAAAACATGAGAACAGGAATAGATATATATAAGTATAATTCACTTGCATAAAAAGCAAACTGAAGATTCAGTCAAATAAAGACACTTTTGTAGAACATGACTATAATCTGTTTCAATGACAGTAAACAGCTCAGGTGTATACCTGATATCTAAATGTTGATTCATGCCTGAGTATCATCTGTCTCAATATTTCCTTTTGATGAACTAAATCCTGGTTCTGGTTCAGCATGAATTGAGGCAATGAAATATTGAAGCCTCTGCTACTGTTCCAGGTAATATCATTGTGAGATATTGACCATGAACTACCACTCGGGGCTGCACTATGATCTCTTGGGTAGTAATATTCGGGGAGATATCCAGTGCACTGCATCTTTCTACCCTCCCTGAAACACAAAAGGCTATAGAATTTAGATTGTAACATGCAAATAAAACACGATAGTGCACATTACGTTCATCACATAACTTAAGAAACGGGGAACCCCTTTTAAGTACTAATAAAACTGCATATAATGAAGTGCTCACAAAGTGGTCACGCATGTTTCTTTCCCTCCTTTGAGGGAGAGAGATGAAAAGCTTCCCACTCTCGAGATATCTTCTATTTGACGTATTTTCTCTCTCCTTCAAGATTCAATTTTCTTGTTTACAACACCAAAAGATTTACTTGAGTCTTGCTCTGACTTTCATGTGATGAGGAGAATTATATCGAAAAGAAGATCAACTGTTGTCAAGAATATGCAATCTCATACTAAATTAAAAGATGCATGTTTCATTTTCTCCATTGTTTTCTCTGCTTCACTGAGCTTAAGGTCAGAACGGATGCAGAATACTTGGAACCTGGTGAAGGAAGCATGAAAGACTAATTTAGAGCATCAAGAGATTCGGTTAAGAGCAAACTATCAGAGGGAGAGGAATGTGTGTCAAATTAGTGTTAGCACTTTAAAATTGATACCTTTCTTTCTATTGGATAATAAAATTTGCTAACAAAACAAGTACTTGATACAGAATTTAACAGAGGTTAAGCTCCAGCCTAAATAAAGAGCATCATCTGCATCACGAAGTAAGGTCACCTATATTTTTCCTTTTTGACAACTCTCACACAACAAAGCAATTACATTGAAATATAACTAAGTTTATGCTTGGTTGGCATGTATTGGTTTTCATAAGAATAATTGTCATCATTTTTCATGTTTAAGAATGTAATATGTCGTGGTTGTTTCAGATTCAATCCGAGTCATCTGCCACAAGTTGGAGTTCAAAAAAACATAAAGCCAATTAACAAGATATGTAAACTCGTCCAAACTCAATGTGGAAATAGAACGAAGGAGATGTAGAACAACAACAACAACAACATACCCATTGCAGCCCCCACAAGTGGGGTCTGGGGAGGGTAGTGTGTACGCAGACCTTACCCTTAACTTTAAGAAGGCAGAGAGGCATCGAAGGAGATGTAGAAGAACACCACAGTTAAGCAAGCAAAAACCAGGGAAAAAGCACTCAGCAATGTAGCCTTAGCAGCACATATTGAAAAAGAAAAGCAGAAAATTTTTGAAAAAGAAAAGCCAAATATTACCAAGCAATTTTCTCCAACTAAGTAGACAACAAAATATGGTAAGGAATTTTGGAGATATTATTAGTTGTTGGCACTTGGCAAAAGAAAATTACACTTGCTCTCATCCTTGAAACACCCAATTAGAGTAATTAAGAACTTGTTGGAGACAACACTAGAAAACCCCATCTGACTTTTTACCTCAAAAACTTGTAAACATACATCATAGTCTTAAGATAAAGAATTGAAAATGCAAGTACTTTGAAACCAAAATTCAGAACAAAATCGTTGAAAAGGGTAAAAAGATCACAATGCACAGATCCAAAGACAGAACTAACAGTCACAAAACTTGCACACACAAAAGGTAGAGATAAAGACAAGACACTCAAAAAATAGAAAGAGGAGAGATGAAACAACACCAACTTCCCAATACAGCAAATATACACAAGCAAAGATGCAACAACGAGAGGATAAAACATATAAAAAGAGGACCTTTACAAGAGAAATCCACTAAGATTGTCATCAGAAATAAGACAATGAACAGAATTTCAAGAAATTACCAAAGATCAAGTCTTTTTCAAAATGCTCAGCTTCAGAACAAAAAAAAAAACCAGCAAGATGTATCTCATTCAACGCTAGCTCCAGCTCCTAGCTAACACCAAAGAAATCCAAGAAACCCCATCAACCAGAAAGAGGAGATAGCTCAAAAAGAGTAAAATTTAACTCAGAGAAAACTGGAACTTAACAAAAAAGAGTCTATAAAGCCAAGAAAAAAGGAAGCTTGTTAGATTGTCCAAAGTCATGGCAAAAATCGAAATGCGGAAAGGATGGAGTATTTTGGATCTGGTGGGACCACTGTGTCTCTGTACAAAGGAGAGAGAGAGAGAAGAATAATTAGTACTAACTGACATGGGAAGAGAGAGACATGGAATTTGTCAACATATTTTGGATCTATCTTTCCCATTTATATCTATTCTTGGATTTTTCTTGGTGATCAAGTGTTTGAAAAATGGATCATCTTTTTACGTTCTTTCCACTATCCTTGTCCTCTTGCCATGGACCAATTACTAACTACTTAAAATTTGCTAACAAAAATCAATTTGCTAATGTTGAAACCAATTTAATAGTATGATTTGACGTAAGCACAAGATAGAATTTTTTTCCTCCTATGTCTTTTTGGCTAGAGATTCCAATGGAAAACCATCTACATTAGCTTAAAATAATTTTCCGAGGGGTAGTAGCCAGTTGATCTCTCTTAAAAAGGAGTTGGTATCTTTATCATTTATTTTGTACGTCTATTATATTATAATGTATTCAATGGATTTCAATTTTCTCTATACTATACATAGAAAGATTTACTTTTCTAGTATTAAAATAGTATTTCATTCGTTCACTTTTAGTTATCAAGTATTTCAAAAATAAATTTTTATTTTTACTTGTCACTTTATCAAGGTAAAAATAATTTATTTTTTCGGTTTTGCTCTTAGCATTAATTACTTATTTTAAATCATTTTTCAAGACTATACACCAATTAATATGAGTATCATGATAAATTATATATTTTATTTATTACTATTTCTTAAGGGATATGCAAAATCAATAGTGGACAATTAAAAGTGAACGGATAGAGTATCAATTTCTATTGAGCCGAATGTGTAACTGACAAAAGGGAAAGAGCTTTTTTTCATATATGTTGATTGTACAAAAGGTTAGTTAATTTAATCAAAAGTAGATGATAATCATTTGTGTTATTATCTGGGTTGTCATAATGATTGGTTTATTTTCTTGTCAAATTAGCTTCCCCTCAAACACTAACTATTCAAGATTCGATTAAGTGGTTGTGACACTTGTGAGTGGAAAACTTTTGGTTAGTCTATCTCAAATTTTAAATGATTGACGTTGTACACTTGCATTATTTCATGCTCAAAATAGAGAGAGAAAGAGAGAGAGTTATGTGGTTTAATTGTACGCTAACCATAATATTACGTAGTAGTTTTCAGCATTATTTAATAGAAAATAATAGGGATTATATACTCCAGCTAATCAGCATCAACTAAGTTTGAGTAAATGATTAGCATGAAATTAATTTAATCCAACATAGAATTACTAGTGTGATAAATTAGATTACCCTTTTCCTTGATTTTTGGTTTCCCAATATAAGGTAAAGTTGAGCGTAACAACACATGTTTTTTTATTTTTATTTTAACGAATAACAAATTTGGTAAGAGATAAAGAGGAATGACTAGTATAGAGTGACTTCATATTTTCTTCCTGGGCTGGATGTTTACGGTCCACAAAGGGATAGAAATGGGTTGGGCTGGATGCTCTGCCGACCAGACGGTCACAAAATTTGGGCAAAATATAAAGAGGAATTTTCAGAAACCACTATTGTTTACTGACTATTAACTTTCTATAGCTAACATATACATAATTACTTCCTATATCTACTATTCAGTTGTTACGGTTGTGTATTCGTTGTATTCGCGCTACTATATTCATGAGTACAGTAGCAAAAATTGCCTAAAAACAGGGGAGTCCAGCTGTACGCGACTGTATTCAAATGTATTCGCGTCATGTATTCATGAATACAATAACGACAATCACCTTTAAAATAGGCATGTCCAGCTATCTGATAACGGAAAGAGGATCAATTAACGTGATACATTCCTAATATAACTCAACAAAATCAATTCTACATAAATTTCGCTGCTATTGTTCTGTATTTTATGTATTCACGCGACTGTATTTATAAATACAATGAGGTAAAAACACAGGGATTACAGATGTTTAATTATGTATTTCATGTATTCGCGCGACTGTATTTATAAATATAGTGAGGTAATCCGCCTAAAAATAGTGATTACGGGTGTTTAATAACAGAAAGCGCAATATTGAATTGTATTCAATTTCACTATATTAAATTCAGTTGTATTCAAATAACAAAAAATCAAGAAAATGGGGTGTATATTGTTCTATTCAATTTAATTGTATACGTTGTATTTAATTCACAGATATTCACTATTATACATTGTATTCAATTCACCTTATTCAATTCGACTCTATTCAAATAACAAAAAATCACAAAACACGGTGATATTCGGTTGTATTAAAAAAATACAGATATTGGGAATACATAAATACAGGTGAAAAATAATATATTTATATAAAAATATAATATATTTGAGTGTATTTGTACAGAATACAATACATTTATATCATTGTATGTGACTAAAAAAACAAAAAAGAGAAAAAAGTTCCATGCTTCCAGATGAGAAGATTGTGTTCCATGCTTCTCCTATGCCAAAGCATGACCTTCTTGTTCGCAATCTGCCTCATGAAAATTAGCAGAATTTCATCTCAAGAAGTGAATCATGTTCTTGTTTTAATTAGTTTGAGCAAAATTAAGATCTAGCAATCGTGTTCAGCGATTCCAGCATTCAACCAGATTAGGAGGAATTTTGCTCGAAGAGAGAGAAGGAAGAGAGAGAGATTGAAGAAATTTTTTGCTGAGATTTTGAGAGAGAATCGTGTATTAACTAAAAGAAAGAGAGAGAAAAAACATGATGTAACGACTCGGCCAGTCGTTTCGAGAGTTATAGCCATGTTTTCCCATTTCTGCTTCTTTATGTGTTGTTCAGCGGTGTTGAGTTGTATCGAGTTAGTAGGTTTGGGTCCGGAGTAGTTTTGAAGTGAAATGAACACTTAGTCTCTTAGTTAGAAAGTTAAGTTAGAAAGTCAACCGGAAGTTGACTTATGAATAAACAAATTCGGATGTGGATTTTTATGATTTGATTAGCTTCGTTGGGTGATTTTAGACTTAGAAGTGTGTTCAGAATATAATTTGGAGGTCCGTGATAGAATTAGGCTTGAATTGGCAAAAGTTGGAAGTTTAGAATTTCTTAGGCTTGAATCCGAGGTTGATTTGGTGTTTTGGTGTCGTTTTGGGTGTTTCGAAGGTTCGACTATGTTCAGATAGTATTATATGACTTGTTGGAATTATTGGTTGACATCCTGAGGGCCTCGGGTTAGTTTCGGATAGGTTTGGGTTGTGTTGCGCTCGTTTTTCTTATGTTTCAACACTATTTCTTCAAGCATAAATAATATCATATTGAACAAATGAGCTCCATTTCTTTTTTGATTGAAGCATTAGATCCGTATCGTAATTATGGACCTGTAGCAAAAAGAATTGTCGAATTTGGACATCGTATGAGGATTTTATGGTCATTTTACTAAGAATTAGGTTGCCAGATTTTTTTAGATTAATTACGGAATTGCCACTAATTGCAAATATTAAAACCTACATATCTCCTTCATTATAAGGTCAAATTGAGTGATTCAAAAGCCTAACTTGACTAAAATTTCACAAAAAATCCATTGGAGGTATAAAATACGAGTTTCGGGATTGTTTGGTATGAGAAACGAGGCAGAATAGATGGCTGAAAAATATATAAAATGAGGGTTTGTTCATTCGGTCATATTTTGAATTGGAGAGCTCGGATTTGGGCGATTTTGGGGGCGATTTTCATCATAAGGATTGGGGTAAGTGTTCTCTACTCAGTTTTGGTTATATTACAAGAATCCATCTTCGTTTTTGAGATTTGATTGATGATTTCAAAGTGAAATTGAGGGAGCTAGAGTTTGAGTTTTGGAGAGTTTAAGTGAGGATTTGAGGGACCAAACGGAATCCGATTTTGATAAATTTTATATGGTTAGACTCGGGAGAGGACGAGATTTATTATTCTATTATTTTTGACTGATTTCAAAACGTGGGCTCGGGGGCCGGGTTTTGGCCGGTTTCAGATTTTTGGCATATTTATGTAGTTTTTATTGTGAAATTCGATTCTTTAGACTATGTTGATAGTAGTATTCTGATTTTTGGTTAGATTCGGAGCTTTTGGAGACCGAGTCCCGAGCCGAGGGCATCCCGGAGTAGGATTTTATGCTGTTAAGGTAAGTAACAGTTTTAACTCTGGCTTTGAGGGTATAAACCCGAAGAATTTGATATCGTGTGACTATTTGGAGGTGATACCCATACTAGGTGACGGGTGTGTGGGTGTATACCTCGAGAGATTGAGACTTGGTCCATCCCGTAAGGCCTCATGGCCATCATCTGTGTTTACGTAGTTACTTGTTGTTGAACTTGTCTGCCTTCATGTTAGAGATCATGCTTAGACTTTATTTATGCTCACATTATTTGTACTCGGTCATAGAAATTATTGTATATTTTTACCTCAGTCTCTATTATTTGCTAATATGCTGTGATACTTGATGTAGGCTATGTTCCTTTATTTGTTGATGATGGTGAGGCTAGTGAGGTACATGATTGAGTGAGGCCGAGGTCCTGGTTGTGAGGATATTAATACCATAGCGCGTGAGTTATCCGCGTAGCGCGTGAGTTGACCGTGCGGGTTCAGGTATTGATACCAAAGCGCGTGAGTTGCCTGCGTAGCATGTGAGTTGACCGTGCGGATCCAGGTATTGATATGATGGCACGTGAGTTGTCCGTGCTTAGCGCTTGGGCTTTGGGAGCCCCTCCGGAGTCTGTACACACCCCCAGTGAGCACAAAGTGTTGAATGTTTTGAGTATTGAGTGCTGAGTGCGAGTAATGAGTGATGGAGTGACACTGCTGTGAGGTTGTATTTATTTGTGTTGTTGCTGCATTTATCTGTTAAACTTCTTTGTGGCATTTACTGAGTTATGGAATTTACCTGTTTATTTTTATTTATTTTTAAATTACGAAAATAAATAATTGGACTGTTTTACTTAGCTCGTCACTACTGCTCAGTTCCTTAGTTATTTCTATTACTACTGAGTCGGTTGTACTCATACTACACCCTGCACTTTATGTGCAGATCCAGGTGAGTTAGAGCACGGCGATCCTTGATTTCAGGCCGGCTATCTTTGGAGTCTGCAAGGTAGTTGTTAGCGTCCGCACGACCTTGTTACTCCTCTTGTCATTTCTTCTTTTGGACAGTTAGACAGCTTATATATCTCAGTTCATAGTTTTAGATGCTCATGACTTAGTGACACCCCGATGTTTGGGGCTCGTTTCCG